TGGAGCCAGAGAGAGAGAGAGAGAGAATTCTTTATGATATAAAGTGTCACGGCTACGCAAACCACTACCCCTTTTTTCTATGTTTTCTATTTTTATCAGCCATCAGCCCTAATTGGTCGTTATCTTGTCTACATGCTTCTCTTTAAACACGCCAAACATAATGTCGATGTACCGGTCTAGTAATATATACAAATAGTTTTCAGCGTTACAAACTGGAGGCAAAACTCCTGAGTTATCGCTGCTGTCTGTCTGTCTTACTTTTTCCCAGCACTAAATGATCATTATTGTGTCGATGTGCTTCTTTTTACTTAGCTAACAAACAAACAAACAAACACTAACGTGTGGGTGGGTGGTTGGCGGGTACTCTGGTGTGGTTTGCTCCTTCTTTCCTATCAAACAACTATCGTTTTTATCTCTCCTCCTTTTTTGTGTAAGTTACTCTCTTGTAACACATTATACTCTATTTTTTGGCACTGATATTACGTTATTGTGTTGCAAATGCCGTAAAACTCTTACCAAAACAAAACAAAAAAACTGCTCTTTTTGGGGAGGCCTGTCTGTCTGTTTTTTCTATTTCCCAGCACTAAATGACCATTATTGTATCGATGTGCTTCATTTTACTTAACAAACAAACAAACAAACAAACAAACAAACAACCTCTAACCACCTGCCCTGCCGTCTGTCTCCCTCCAAAGCAACTACAACTTCGCCACAGATATGACCTTATTGTGTTTCAAGTGCCGTAAAACTCTTGCTGAAACCAAACCACTAACCACCCGTCCTGCCATCATTGTATCGATGTGCTTCTTTTTACTTTACAAACAAACAAACAAACAAACAAACAACCACCCACTAACCGTCCCACCCCCTGGGGCAGTGCCACTGACTGTAGAGTCTATAGGCCATTCCCAAAGGGGGGACATTTCTCGTTCTAATGCACAGTAGAATTGTAAATGGGCTGATTCATGTCACGCTCTTACCTGTGCCTGATCTACAACAGGGAACTGCTGCTTTTTCTTTTCTAATCCTTACTATTGTAATTTTTCCTCTATTTCTTTTGTATGTTTGTCACTCTCTTGTGGCCTGCTATTTCCGGGGTGCCTTGATTGTTAAAGCAGACCTTGTGCTGTTGAAGCTAGAGAGGTGAGCAGAGTAAGTCTGATTCCCTGTAAAGACTTCTCTGTTGACACCCACCCCTTTGCGCCCATATGACCTTATGCAGTTGCGAGCGCCGTAAAACCCTCTACTAAAACTAAAAACAAATATACACACCAATGAAACCTAACTTCCTCTATAGGTGGGGCAATGCCCACTTTTGGTGTAGGTCAAGATTTCT